AAAAAAAAAAAAGAATTTGTATTCAAATATATATAATGAATTCTTAAAACTCGATAAGAAAACAAAACAGTCCTTATTTTTCACAATGGATACAATATTTGAATAGATATTTCACCAAAAAGATATAGGGGTGGCAAAGAAGCACATGAAAAGATGCTCAACATTATTTGTAATTAGTGGAGTGCAAATTAAAACCACATGAAGTATCATGTGGTTGGTTAGATACCTGTTAGAATGGCTAAACACAAAAACAAAAAGATCGAGAGAACACCCAAGTGCTGGCTAGAATGCATAGCTGCAAGGGACACGAAGATGTTGCTGGTGGGGATACAAAATGGTGCAACCACTTTGAATAACTGGCATTGTGAAATATGTGTTTCATCTTCCTCCCATTTTCTGACATGCAACTCCTAAAATTCTTGAAATCTCCAAAATGTTTTTTGTATCCTAATGAATACACTAGTGGTTAGTATTTCCTAGGTAGCCACAGAATGTGGGGACTTGAAAGACCAAGGCATAATTAGAGGGTTAGTACTTCCAGGCTCCCTTCCCCCAACCTCCAGGAAGCAGAGAGGAGTTGAAGAAGGTTAAGTTGACCATCAATGGTCAATGGTTTAATCAGTCATGCCTATGTAATGACGCTTCCATAAAAACCCAGAAGGACTGGGTTTGGTGCGCTTCTGGATAGCTGAACATGTGAGGGTTCCTGGAATGTGGTGCCCCCAGAGAGGGCGTCTTCTCTCATACTGCCCCCATGCATAGCTTTATCTGTAGTCTTTGTAATATTCTTTATTATAAACTGGTAAACATAACTAAGTGGTTCCCTGAGTTCTGTAACCTGCTCTAGCAAATTCATCGAACTTAAGGAGGGAGTCATGGACACTCCTATTTATAGCCAATTGATCAGAAATATAGGTAACACCATTTGGGGCTTGTGATTGGCATCAGAAGTTGGGGGCAACCTTGCGGTCTGAGTCCTCAACCTGTGGAATACCTATTGTTATCTCCAGGTAGACAGTGGCATAATTGGATTGAGTTAGAGGACACCTAGCTGGTGTCCACTGCAGGATTGCTTACTGGGTGTATGGGGACATCCCCCACTCCTCCACAACTGGCGTCAGATGGGTTGAGTGATAGTGTTGCACTGAAAGTAGAGAATAGGAAAGCACTGTGTTTTTCCCTCTATATCTCAGAATTTAGCAGGAGAAACTGAGCTTGTTTCTCAATACTCTCAGTATAACCATTTGGCATAAAGTTAGACATGTATTTATGTTGTGATTGTAAAATGTGCCCATAAATTCTTTGACACTGCCTTCTGTAAGGGTTGAGCTCAATTTTTCTGTTCTTGAATGTTGACTGGACTTGGTGACTTTAAATGAGTGGAATGTGGCAGAAGTGAGTGTTGCTTCTGAGACTAGGTCATAAAAGACATTATGGCTTCTTTTTTGCTTTCTTTCTTGGATCATTTGATCTGGGAGAAACCAGTTATCATGTCATGAAGGTACTCATTCTTACAAAAAGGTTCATGTGGGGAAGAACAGTCCTTCTGCCAACAGCCAGCCCCATATGAATGAGCCATCTGGAAATTGAGTCCTTACTCCCCAGTCAAGCTTGACAACTATAGCACTGGCCAGCATCTTGATGGTAACTTCCTGGGAGACCCTGACACTGAACTGCTCAAGCAATATCACTCCCATATTCCTGGCCCACAGAAGCTATATGAGATCATAAATGTTTATTGCCATTTTAAGTTGCTGTTCTGTTTTGGGTAATTTGTTATGCAGCAATAGGTAACTGAAAAACTTATTAAACAGCCTGGCAATACCACTCTTATTGCCAGAAAAATGAAAACTTAATGTTAATAGAAAACTCATATATACATGCTTATAGCACCAAATCTCCCAAAGTGGAAACAACTCAAATTTCCTTCACCTGGTGAATGGATAAAAAAACTATCCATCCTGTGGGTTACTACTGAGCCAGAAAAAGGATAGAATACTGACACAGGCTCGGCGCCTGTGGCTTAAG